GTCTGAGATAAAAACAAACAATGAACTAACGTTACTGTTTTGCACATGCATTTATAAGAGAAGTATTCAGTGCTTTTACAAAACACAAAACGTTGATTAACGCCACTTTCTCCTACCGAGTGGATGCATCACTGGCAGTAATGTTAGCAGGCTAAGTTTCACGTTGTTTTAGCAGATGCTTCAATAAAAAGATGCTTCTTACAACGTTTACAGAAGACCATGTTCTTTGCATCTCTGAGGGTGACACAGCTACGTTAGGCCTAATGGCAGTACTTACAGCTGTGGAAAGAACACTTCTCTCCCTCGTTCTCCCTCAACATTAGGTCCGGTTTCGCTGATCTGCAGCACAGTCAAACATGCGAAATGAGACACAACAAACAGATCCATCTCTGAAATGGCAGTTTATTATTAAGTCAACAAGAATTTACAAACAATGCGTAATCTACGTTGATCCCAGCTGTTGACTACATTCTTCTGACGGCTACCGAAGCGCTTTTGCCCCCTGGCTGCGCGTGCATCTAGTAGTGTTGTATACAAGAAACCAGTCTCTATGTCACCTAGACAATTGTATTTGCATCCGACGAGCCTTGCATTAAAAAAATCTTTGACAATGTCCTTATGTCCAAAAATCCAAAACTTATTTGGGAGTTTTGCAACCTTCTCATCCTGTTTTTTTGTCTCCTGTCTCGTCTTGTCACATGATCAAATATAAACTTGAGATTGGGCAGCCACACATATGTTACCCAGCAATCCTCATTGCATATTTGAGCTATGTGACACGAATACCAAAGAAAATAAGACAATATTCATTCTATGGAATCTAATTTCTACAGTAGCCACATATGGCATTTGCTTCAGACTTTTGTGGGTAAAACTACTGACTGCCACCCCAAAAAGGGGGATATTCACATTTGAGGGCATATATAACACTTGATCTCATTGTCAGCATAAAGGTAAGAGGCAATCTCTGAGTCTACTCATTAAGTCTAGATGCATTTTTACATTTTTACCATGCAACTATCAAAGATCAGCTGGGTGCACAGTCTGCACTCTCTGTACCTACACCTCTGGGTAAGTGTTTAAGTTGCATAATGTTGACCAAACCTCAACTACAATGCAAATGCCATACGTGGCTACTGTAGAAATAAATATGGTAAACCTTCTAAATTGTTGTCACTGACTGTGATCTAGTGTTATGAAGAACTGTTTAATATCAACATTATGTTAAGCGCAGTCAGTTGAGAAACTACCTACACGCTCTCGTTCTGCATGCAAGAAAATAAAGAACAGAGAGTGGACAGACTGGTTGAAATCTATTAAGGTGCAGACTTTCACAGACCATCAGGTTGATATTTCAACACAGGATGGATGTACGTAAGTATTAAATACTGTAGAATCAAAACTAAATATTACTGTTAATGTAAAAAGAACTGAATGTGTGTATGTGGGTGTACATTCAAATTAGAGGTTCAGCTAGAAATTATATTTGTACATAAGTGGTATAATATTGATGGAATTATATTATTTGTCTGTACTCAAGCCTGTATAAGTACTGCTCAAAAAAAATAAAGAAAACACTTAAACAACACAATGTAACTCCAAGTCAGTCACACTCTTGTGAAATCAAACTGTCCACTTAGGAAGCAACACTGATTGAAAATCAATTTCACATGCTGTTGTGCAAATGGAAAAGACAACAGGTGGAAATTATAGGCAATTAGCAAGACACCCCCAATAAAGGAGTGGTTCTGCAGGTGGTGACCACAGACCACTTCTCAGTTCCTATGCTTCCTGGCTGATGTTTTGGTCACTTTTGAATGCTGGCGGTGCTTTCACTCTAGTGGTAGCATGAGACGGAGTCTACAACCCACACAAGTGGCTCAGGTAGTGCAGCTCATCCAGGATGGCACATCGATGCGAGCTGTGGCAAGAAGGTCACAAACAGCTAGTATATTTTTAGGAAAAACATATTTCCTGCTTGTGATGATGTCTAATCTAACAGTGTTTTACAGTTGACTTATATGTATTAATGTAGACCTTTTAGCATCTTTCATTGGTGTAACAGTATTACTAAATGATGAATAACTGCCAAAATAGTGTACTGTTAGCATGTAAAGTTAGTTTGCTCTCAGCTCAAGTAATAATGTTCAGTTTTGCGGGAGGCAATGCAATAAAAACAGTTCATTATGTAAGGTCTTTATACACCACTCCATCTCAATTGTGTTTCCAGGTAATGTTAAATATTTTTATTTTAAATTAGCCCTGGGTGAGGCCGACAGTGTTCATACAATAATTATCACTAAACAATTCAACCCATAGTTTTAATTTGACATCAGTGCATCATGTTGTGCGTGGTGTGTAGCTGTTGTGGTGAAAATTATATTCACTAGTATTTTTTGAATCCCAGTACATAATCAAATAAAAAGATCTGAATTTGAAATGATTTGTTCCACCACATTCTGAACTTGAATTTTGGTTCATATTTAAGAAGTGAAAAGCCACAGAGGTTCAAGCTGCTGATCTTGGCTCTTTAAAGCTCAGTATTATGAACTTGTAATCTACTGCTCCACCACACGAGTGCACCAACATGTTCATATTAATCCTCCTCTGTGCTGCCCTCTTCACTGGAAGCTGAACATGCTGAAATATTGTTTTTAATTTGTAATTATAAAAGAATCTTTTTTCATGTTTTAAAACTCTTCTGTCTTCTGTAGAGTACATACGAAGACATAAAGAAACTAAATATGAAGAGGTGTTTTAGTCCATAACACCTTATTATGAGCACAAGAACTGCATACATCAATAATTCCATGTGCTTTGTGGCTTCTCCCTATACCAATATAGTGCTTCTTCTGTTGGTTCTGGCAGGTACAAGTGAATGTAAAGCCTGAGGTCGGACGCGGGTCCACAGCATAATCTGCGAGGAACAAACAACATGACGGGATCCAATCAATGGCTCTCTGAGAAACAGATCTTTTGAGAGTTTTCTGGAGATCATGGAGGCCAACATGTGTGCCATGTAACTGTGATGTAATGGATTTGAAAGGACCTTTAATGCACAGCATTTCTCCCTCTCTTTATCCATAGTTCCTGCTGCCCTCCCTTAAAAACTACATAATAAAGGCAATCAGAAAATGTTCATGACTTTACCAAATAACACCATGTTAGAAGTCGCACTCATACTGACTTTCATGCTATTCTCACAGTAGTCAAGTTAAACACGTACAGTTTGTCCTGAGGGTAGTTAGAGAAAGGTCATAGGGTCCAAAATAAATAAAGTTCATTTAGTGTGGTGCATAAAGTTGATTTTACAGCAACATACTCCGCCCCGTAACCTAAGATCATTAGATCAGAGGCGGTTGGTAGTTCCCCGTACCCACTTTAAGACCAGAGGAGACCGGTCTTTCCAAGCAGCTGCACCCAGGTTGTGGAATGCAATCCCCAGTTCGTTACACACCTTAAACTGTGATGTTTCTTTAAAAAAGCAGCTGAAGACTCTGTTATTCAAACAGGCGTTTGCTAAACATTAAGCTTGGTTTTAAAGTTGTCTGTCATGTGTCAATGTGTTTCTAGTGTTTAGCTAGAACTGTATTTTGTTATTTTATTGTGAAGAACCTTGTGATTTTATCTGTGAAAAGTGCTATATAAATAAATGTTACTTACTTACTTATATTTTAGTGTTTCCTTTGTCCCATTGGAAGATCCGGCCAGATGGTGGCACTAACAGAAATGTGAGGTCGTCACCAAAGTCATTTTCAGTTTCAATCTGCCTCACAGTAGTGAAAGTGGTTAAACGGTGGTTAAATCATGTATTGACAGTCAGAAGCTCTAAGACCTTGTTCCTGAGCAGGATATGTATTCTAATCAATCGTTATAGGGTTACGATAGTCACTGTCAACTTAAAAATGAAACATTAGATCTTGGTTGGTGTTGGGCCTCACAGTCTGGTAGAACAAAAATGGGCCTTGTGACATCCTACAGGCCTTGTGACATCCCCGGCCTGTTGAATTCCCCAAAGCCTGAATTTAAAGTTATTTCAAACAAAGGACTGTAAAACAGGCCCCGGTAATGCATCTGGCGAGCCCCCCCCCGTCAGGTATAAGTAGACCTGAGCACAGCCAGCACATTGTCTTTCCACAGCTGCGTCAGCAGTGACGGGAGATGCAACTTTCTCAGCGCTGAACTTTCTTTGTTCCTGAATACAGACTTCACTCGCTGGACGAGCAACTCTGTTTTCTGTTTTCTTTTTTCTACCACTATTATTTTTTTCTTTGTTTTGGATCCCTAAGGAACTTGTTATACACGAGATAATGTTTCATGCCTGCAGAATAAGACGGATAAACTCCTGTACTTAACTGAGAGAAGCTCACTTTCGTGTTCTACCTTCTCAACCTACGTCGACTTCACTGATTCCTGTTGCTGCTGCCGAAGAATCAGCTGTGCCGTTGAAACTACCGGCATCAGAACCGAGAGAAACTCTGCTGGATTTCCTAAAAGGACTGACGCATCTACTCGCTACCAAAGCGACACCTAAGAGGCTTTAGTATGTCTGGGCAGCAGATAGTTCTATGACTTTGTTATTGTAACTCGTACAAGCTTCATGTGGTGAATTTCTGTTAAGAAACTCCAAGGGATATTTAAAGATCGCCATGTCTTGTTTTATTGCTGTGTGTTTTCCGGTGGTGTGTTTAGAATATTTAATAGTGATTTACTTGCTAGAGTTATTGATCATTGATCTATGATTGAGTTGAATAAATCCTATTATAATTTTAAGAAGTCGTTGCCTGTGATTATTTGTGTATAAGGTTGTAGTAAGAGTTGGTGGCCACGGCCAGTGTACGGACTCACCCCGGACTCTGTTTGCCGTCTGTAGGTTGACAGACCCTCTTTTAGATCATATTTGGCTATTTGGTTATTGGTCCCTGATTCCAGGGTGGTGTCCCGTATTTATCAATTATAATTAATAATTTTGAATATTAATAGTTTTATTAATATTTCTAGAATATCTTTGATATTCAGCTAATAACCAAACCTGACCATATGTTGAAGACGCCCACATTGGAAAATGATTTCCTGACATTTCCTGTTTTGGCCAAACTGTTAATCTGCTCTTTGTGTGTTTGTGTGGGGTGTAAACAAGGTGGCCATGGTGTGAAAAAATGTGCTTAGATCTATTAACACAAACATATTGTTGCTCTGAAGTCTATCCTTTTTTTTTTAATTATTTTCAGTTTTATACCCATGTATAAATATTGTTTTTCTAAATTGTGTCATACAGTGAATCCAAAGATTTGACAACACAGTCCCCCAACTGAAGAAAAAAAACACAAAACCGGATCCAGAAAAGTCAAATTAATAAAAAGTGAGTGTGTGTTTCTTTGCTGCTACCTCCTCAATGTTCTCTACCGAAACCAGACAGAAGCCGGGTCATGCAAGACTGACAGCAGCGTCAGTAAAGTATATTATGTTTAGTGGTGGGCCGTTATCGGCGTTAACTCTTACCGGGCGATAAAGAAAGATATCGCCGTTAATCTATTCTCAAAGTTGGGTTTGGAGCTGGGTCTATAGGGGAGAGCCGGGACGATTGAAACGCGGGACAAGTGAAACACAGCGATTTTCTCGGAGCCCATACAAGTCTGATATGCCAAACTACCTGAGCACATACAGTCCACAGTACAGGGAAAAATCAGGTGGATACGTCACACTTTCAAAGAGTTATATGAAAGAAGCTTTTCTCAAGCAGTTTCTGATGCATTTTGGAAACAGGAGATGAGCCCCCTGGTCTAATGCGCCACCTGGATTGATAAACCCGTTCTCAAAGACTTACTTTTAGTCATTATTTGGGTAGCACACATATTCTGAATGCCTTCGGCAGAATTCAAATGAGCCATTTTAATCTAGATTAATTCCAATATTACAGTGAGATTAATCTAGATTAAAAAAATGTATCTATGCCCACCACTAATTATGTTACTGAATTTATATCTACTACAGTTACTGTGTCATACAGTGAATCCAAAGATGTGACAACACAGTCTTCTTACTGAAGTTACAAAAACCACCAAACCGGATCCAGAAGACTCAAATAAATATAAAGTGTGCATGTGTGTGTCATTGCTGCTACTTCCTCATTCTTCTCTACTGAAACCAGACAGAAGCCGGGTCATGCAAGACGGACAGCAGCATCGGTACAGTAGTATATCTACTATAGTTAGTACTGCAGAGTATACTTTGAAGGTTTACAGCAGCATAGTAACCAATCAACACAGAGCAGTTACAGGAAGTGAAGTGCAGCTACTGTTCAACTGTCTCAGTCCTCTCAAGATGTCCTCAGATATTTATGCCAAACCAGATTTCTCAAAGAAGGTGAGATACAACAGAAAGGTGCAGGAGGACAATGTAGAGTGGGAAGAAAGAGAGGTGGCTATCTACGAGAGTACAGACGATATCAGAGATGATCACACTGATCTTCAGTCACACGACGCAGGTAAGTGAGAAATTATGACAAATCAATGATATAAAAAAATAATGTTTATCTTGTTTGTGTGATCGTCTGTTTGAATCACGTTGGACTAATGTGTGACCTCTGAGTTTACTCTCAGTTTGTAACACGTTGATTTCCAATCCCACAGAACTGCAGCCCATTAGCGTCTATGTTTGTTTCTATTTATGTACGTCTCACAGCTCTGTATTAATAACAGGAAGAAGTTATTAATACAGAGCCGAGAGAGACTCAAGAGGAGATGATGTAAAGTCAGTTTAACAGCTTTTAGTTATGAGTCAGTTGCGCATTTGTCCTTGTCCTTTAAAACTCAACATCTCAGATCGGTTCATATTTGTTTTACATCACAATAATAATTGGTCAACACAACAGTCTTTATATGATTTGTTAAAATGTTAATACTACATTTCACAGCTGTATACAGATGTCGACCAACCACAGATGAAGGCAGTGAAGCTGTTGACTAAAATGTTATGTGTGGGGAATGATAACATGACGCATGTGGTTTTCCTTTAATGAACCCGCTCTCTGTGTGCTTTGCCACTTTAGGACCGCACACTGAGAATCATCCTCCAGCCGTCCAAAGCAGGCCTTTCAGAGCTGCTGCATTTTGTCTTGGAGTGCTGTGCTTTCTGACCATAACTGGAATCATCCTCCTATACATACGTTGTAAGATAAAATACACCCCACAACTACTGACAACCAAATACTGAACCTGTTCACAATGCAGAAAAACTGCTGCAACTGGTCTATGAAGCACATTTATTAAATGTTTTCCACCAAAGTTTGCTCAGTTACACTAAAATGTACTTTCCAGTTCTCCACAACCAGATCTAAGGCTGCGTTCAGACTGCAGGCCAAAAAACACAGAATTAAGCATTAAAGGGATGCTTTGCAATTCTTATCCAATGTAGTTTTAGTTAAATTCAGTGAATATTTCCTCATGTCTGTCTGTTTTCATGTTTGTGATGATCCCAGCTGGTTAGCTTTGTTAGCTTTGCCTCAGCGGTCAGTCTGTGTGCGGTAGAGGAGGAATAGACGGAGCGTGAGCGTGAACGGGTGTCTCGGTGAATAGAGAGAAACGGGTCAGCAATAAGGCTTGTTCAGCAGTAAATGTACAGTAGAAGTTCCAGAGGCCGGTGAATAAAGACTGCAGCTTCTCCGGACTAAAGAGGATCTTACGTGTGCTGCTGCCAACTGTTGAATTAAGAGTGAAGGAGGTTAGCCCCAAAGTTAGCTTTGACTTCGTGCCACTAAAACATGCCCTCTTATTGAAGCTAACTTGCTCTCGGACAGCAGACGTTGTGGATTCTGCTATATTTCAGCAGAGTAGGACTGGTTACCATGGCAATGCGTGTCCATGAGTTTGTTTGGCCGTTGGACTCAAATATCTACAAACTCTCTGCAGAATCACCTTTAAGGCCTGCAGTCTGAACGTAGCCTAATAAAACAAGCTGGAGGAAGATGAGACGGTCTTGTTCAAATGGTGAAGAGCACCAGCTTCAGACTTTAAAGGACAGGTTCTGTTTTGTTTGTTCATCTTCAAATAAAACTGACCTGCCATATGCACGCTGAAAGAGTTATCTGTGTAAAAGTACATTCTAACTTTCAGCTGAAGCTATTATGAGAATTCAGAAGTCTGAGTTAGAAAAATCAAGAACATTTTTCTAAAAACACATGAACTTTGGAAGGAAAACCTTCAATCTGTGTAACTCAGACTAATGAAGCTTCATTCTAGCTTTGCCTGTACCTAAAACATTTGTTCACGCGACAAAGACTGAAGATTTTATGTCCCATTTTGTTTACACTGCAGTCAAGGTAGGAGGGGAAAAACTTCAGAGCCATGAACAAAACAATCATTTTATTGATCAAATGGCATGTGAGTCTGGAGCTATTCTTTATGGCAGCTGAATATACCGCATTCAGGATGTACCCTTTCACGCCATTTAAGCACAGTTACTTGACTGTGTTGATCTGCATTTTGGTTCTTCATCACACTTGATACATGAGCGAGTCAGTTATCCAGTTGTTACAACATCTCCACATACACGGCAGGTTAAAGGAAGCTAAATTACTAAATTATGGTTTGAATTAGAGTGATTTTAATTATGCAGAGAAAGTAACTAAACTGTCTTTAGTTTATAGTGAATGAGTTGGTGTTGTTGAGGTGTTTCTTATGTTGTTTCTCAACAGTCTCTTTGGAAAAAGACCAGCTGCAGACCAGATACGACAAACTGTACAAGAACTACAGTGAGCTGCAGGGACAACTTTTAGGTGAGAAAGGTTTAAAAACAAATAAGCAAATACTGTAATACATAGGATCTAACTTCACACTGGTTATCAAGCATAAATGTTTTCATATGGTCTTACTCTTTTATCTATTACTGTTTTCTAAAGATATGGCGGTGAACATCAGTCAGTTACAGAGCAGTTACGAGACACTGAGTAAAAAATCAGGATGAAGTAAAGCGGCTGAAGGACAAAATTAGATGTGATGAAACGATGAACACCAACATCACACCATTACTTTTAATTATAGTTCTTTTATCTTTTATTTCTGTTACAAATCAGATACAAAACCTGAGTGTATTTATAGAGTAAACAACAAGTGGCAGGAAAGAAAGATATTTACTAAATAATGAAACTAAAAGTTTTATCAGTTTGACAGTGAATGAGATGAAATCCATCTTTTAACACTCATTTGAAATATTTTGAAATTGTCTGACTCTTTTATCTCTTGTTGTTTTTTCTCATGACACAGCAGTCAACATCAGTCAGTTACAGAGCAGTTACGAGACACTGAGGAAAAATCACAGCCAGTTACAGGATGAAGTAAAGCAGCTCAAGGACAAACTTGATGGTGAGAAAAGTTTAAAAACTAATAGTGAACACCAGCATCACACCAGTTCACTTGATATAACTTGAATTTGCCATTCATTTTAAATTATAATTCTTTTATGCTGTTGAACTGTTTTCTCTGTTTATTTATGTTATAAATGAGACAAAACCTGAGTGTATTTATAGAGTAAACAACAAGTGGCAGGCAAGAAAGATATTTAAGAAGAAAGTCAAACAACAAGTTTTATCAATTTAACAATGAATGACATGAAATCCATCTTTTAACACTCATTTGACATGAAGAGAAGTGTTGTCCTGAAGGATGGAAGAGATTTGGATTCAGCTGTTACTTTAAATCCAATGAGAAGAAAACTTGGTCTGACAGCAGAAGTGACTGTCAAAGTAGAGGAGCAGATCTGGTGATCATAAACAACGAAGAGGAACAGGTGAGTGTGTTTGTTACTGAGTGTGTGATCTTAGATGTAGCTGCCAGTGATCTGTTACTTCTGTTTTTGACCTGCAGCCAGTCGGCTTCCTATGACGATGCATTAGGGCCATTGTAGGTGGAAATAAAAAACATTACGGAGCGAAGACAAGAAAAACTAGAATATTCTCTGAGACTAAGGTTATAAATTTGAAAGAGAAAACTTGAAAAACAATGTTTCAGTAGAGTTTTGCATTATAACCATCTAAAAACTGAGGAGCAAACTGGCTCTGTTTGGGTCTGTGAGCTTTATCGGAGGTGCTGAAGTTCACATTTGTGGTGAGATTTCTGCCTGAAAGTGTTTTCAGGTAGTTTTAGTTTCCACCTCCTTGTCTCATCCTAACATACAGTCCCAAACGTGCTTCTGTGTCTGTCAGACGGTCTGAAGGGGGAAACTACCACAGCAGCAGAGCAATAACGCAGGCTAATCCCCCACACAGAAAAGGAAACATCCACCTGTCATCTTGCCACTCAGTTTTCCTCGTTGTGATTCACTGTAAACATGTTGTAGAAGGAATGTAGAAGCAGATCTGTGTGAAAACTGTGTTACAAAACATCCACCAATATATTCTATATAGACACCTAAAGTTAAGTGAAATAAAAGTGACAATCCACCAAAATGCTGAAAGCTCAGAAGATGATAAGAGACACCAAATATCTGGGGATTTCCACAGATCCAGGAGCAGCAGGAAAGAGAGTCAAGAGGTGATGTAATGCTTAGAAACAGAGCTATAAAAGGAGGTCCAAAACAAGGTGAAAATCACTTGTTACATGGCTTCATGTCAACTCGGGTCTCTGTTCTGGTAACAGAATGGGACTGTACTTTGCATCCATCTCTGAACCTCTCCGCTGAAACTTTTCTTTTCTAACTACTGTCTATTTTTGTTGAAAATAAAGATGTTGGTAAAAGTTCAAGCTTTTTTATCTGGCCAAAGTCTTGAATTTTTTTACACAGCACTGTCTTCAGTGAATTTAAAAAGATATGTTGCTTTTTGTAAGATCAATAGATTTGAAAAGTACTTTTCAATTTTTATATTCATAAACTTTTAAATCCAGGTACTTTTTCACTTTTACTTGAGTAGTATTTTACTGGATGACTTTTATTTGAGTAACATTTTAGTGTGGTATCTGTACTTTTACTTAAGTAGGAACATTTAGTACTTTTCCCACCACTGAACAATGGTTATTCTACAAGAGGAGCTGAATTCCATCAGTCCTCTGAGTGTTTCTGATTTATGCACCACTGATGAACTGAAAAGTTGCCACAGATTTTCTTTTTCCTTCAGACTTTTCAGACATCACACATGTACCACAATAGAATTACTGAATTATGAACAGAGAAATGATTATTGTCTCTTGTCAACTACTAGAAATGTGTCATTGAGCTGAACAAGGATGGAGACTCCTGGATTGGTCTACGGGCCACAGTAAAACAGACACAAACAGGATGGGAATGGAAATGGAAATGGGTGGACGACTCACCGCTGACACTAGAGTGAGACTCTTTTAAAGTTAAAGTTTCCATCACAATTCATTTTATTAATAAAAGAAGTTTGTTTTTTTAAAATTAGATGAAAAAAACATTACTTCACATTTCATTAATTTACAAAGCTGAATTATGTGTTAAACACATTATTAAAAATGTAATTGTCATTTATTACTCACAATAAAAATGATAAAAAAATCCAACAGCTTCCTTCAAATTGAAAATAATCAGGAGTGACAACATTTTATTTCTCCTACAGGTTCTGGGCAACAGGACACCCGCACAACGACTATAATGCTGCTACATGCTGCGATAAACAAGGAAATTGGACACAGATCGGATATTATGATCAGAAGAACTGGATCTGTGAGAAAGGGCTTTCCTGTTTATCTTGAGGACAGAGGGGTGTGTAGTGTTGGGATCAACTTTGTCAAATCAGACCAACTCACATTTTACATTTCTTCAGTTGTTCATTCTGTGTTGCATCCTGAACAACCTGGATTACATAGATATTGTTCCTCTGCCCTACACAGTGAACAGTCTGGTTGGAAGTCATCCACACAACTACATGTGCACTTACCCTCTCTGCAGAGAGGGATATTACAACAGCCTGTTTTCAAAAAGCCTAAGATGTCACATACATGACAACAAGGGGAAAGACGGCTCCTTTCTGTTTCAGTGTTATTTAAGCCATTATCATAAAGGACAAACCTCATAGGCTTCTTCCACAGACCACTTACTGATGTAGTTACACTTGGGAGGAGGAAAGATTATGAATGTGTTTTGGAGAGAAGAATACACCTGATTTTGAATAAGATTTCAATCCATCTTTAATGCTTGGTTGCATTTACACTTGGGCTGTTTTGCTAATCAAAAGCTATCAAATCCACACGATGCATGAACTGATACTCAGAATAGTAACAGTCACATCCTCTGCATGTGCGTCAGGAAGGATGATATTCAATCATCTCTTTTGTTTTCTTCATAAATTACCAAAGCACAATTATATGTTTAACATGTTAGGTTTATTATTATCATTGAACCATTAATACTTGTCACGTCATTTCATCTACTAGACAGAACAAAAATAACTGGTCAACACATCACATTTCCTGTGTCAGAGATGCATGTGTGAATAAACTATATGGAGAACATGAATGCAGCTTTGCACAAATGTGTGAATGTGAGCACAAACCTGCTGTTGAGTGAAAACCATATACTTCCTCAGTGTCACTGACAAAAAAAATCTTTATGTTTCAGCTTTAAATATAGTTTTATGTGGTTTATGCCTCAATTAAAGTCAAGTATTCAATAACACATATGTTGTGGTGTCCATCTGTGTCAGTGGTGAGTCCTGCTGTTACTTCCTCTTTTGAAAGCTGCCCAACCCAAAGACAAACAAGCAGACAGTGAAGCTGTTCACTAAGTTTTCAGTCTTTCAAAATGTCTGCAAGGATTCTCGCTGCACCAGATTCAAGCTTGAATGTGAGATATACCGGAAGAGTTCAAGACAACAGAGGAGCGGGAGAGGAGAATCAGCTGGAGATCTCAGAGGATGAAAAGCATCACGCTGATCCTGGGTCACAAAAAGCAAGTAAGTCTGAAATGAAGTTGTAAGAACGACGTTAATGTACATTTTTGTGTGACTATATAAAATAATAATTCATTAATCAGTTACCATTAACTATGGGTCATTATCAGGTGTCTTGTTTCTGTAATCTGGTGCCACAAGAGTCAATTTTCTTACTGACAGAATGACAACGAGTAACTAGAGAATCCAGTTTCTGAAGAAGCTGCAGAGTGATGGTGGGCTGTTGAAAGCTGACGCTAAACTGATTGCTGGCTTGAATAATACCAATAATGTTTGAAAGATGTTGAAATTCTGATGCTATTCTGTGATCACTGTGCACTAGCTGGCACTAATGTTGCTGAGCCTGTTTCTCTGATAACTTGAGATCCAGACGTCCCATGACTAAAATCCTCTATCCGTTGAGTGTGTGCGCGTCCGGACAATGATAGTAAACTAGCCTGTGTGCATGGACATCCCCACAAAGCAGGCATGTGATTGGCTTCAAACTTCAACCACTAAATGTGCAACAAGCAACATGAAATAATTGAGTCTATAACTAAAATATAACTACTAACTTTCAAATTAGTTCAGTAGAAGTTAATAGATTATTTTTAATGAAACAGCAGCAAAGGTTGTCGCCTGTTTAAGACCTGGTGGCAGATCAGTCTCTGTCTGTTGATAAACTGTAGGAAAAAGTTTTTCATTTCATTTCAACTCTGACAGCGGGCGGCCGTGAGCGTGAGACCAGAACGGCCGCGACAGTTTCACGGGATCGCGCCGGTTACACAGAAGCTGTTGCCATGGTTACCTCGCAGAGCGCTTGTTTGCCTGTCTGTTGATGAGGAGCGCAGAGCGACCCCGCGGATCACAGCCGTATGAAAACCCTGTCACAACAATTCACAAGAAATTAATTTATAACGTGCCAAACCTTTAACATAAGGGCGACTTAAAAAGCAACCATCCATACAGCAAAGCGTAGCCTATAGCCTATATCAGAGGTCAAAAATAGGCGGACCGCGATCCGGATCCGCACCCAGCGGCCGCATTGTCTGGACGTACAGTCGATCTGTTATTGAGAATTACTACCTCATGATGGAGCTTTTCTATTTTAAAATGCGCAGCTTCTCTAACATTTACTGTCCTCATTCAGCGGCATAGGAAACTCACAAACCAATCGCATGTTCTCTAATCGTCTCATGTGAGGCTGCTCAGCCAATCAAATCTGTCCATTGTTAAGCATTGCCAGAGCCGTTAACGGCCCTGAGCATTGCGAGTCGAGTCCGCGAGTGAGATACACAGAGGAAGAGAGGAGAGGAAAGAGAAAAGAGACTTCACATGACTTTTAACCAAGAATGTACAGATTCTCACATGTACATTCTTCCCACGGTTGGTTCAAAACCGGAATATCTCATTTATCTCCAGTCCTAGCTAGAGCTCACATTTCTCACTAAACAAGAGAAAGTAGGGAAGTGGTAGCTATAAAAGAGGGAATGAAAGAGAAGGAGGCGGCATTACAGCTGTTCATTTGTTAAGATGTGTTGAGTGTTAATTATAAAACTGGTTGAGACTGAACTTCAGTCACTAAAAGTTACAACAATTAAAATTAATTTATTTTACGATGCACATTTACAAAACCGTTTTTTAAATGCAGCCTTTAGATTACTTAAATTTAGAATGTATTATTAGAGTGGTTATTATTTATTATCCCTTCAGTTTTATGTGAAAACTATTGTTGAAATAGTATCAAAGGACAAAAACATATGTTGATGCAACTAAGGCTTTAGGTTATGGTAGACGCAAGTTGATGTTTGCGGACCTTTGCTTTGTGAAATTTTCTCTAACTGGACCTCTCTGAATTTTAACTGAAGACCCCTGGCCTATATGATTGATCAATCGACAACAATGTCAAAGTAAACATTAGATGCCTATAACAAGCAATAATCAAAACATACCCAATTTATCCGATCCTTATTGTCAACTCAGTGTTGGGAAAGTTACTCAGCCTATAGTTATTACCAACTAGTTACTCCTTAAAAAAGTAATATTAGCTACTCTACCCTACTACTGGGTGAGATAACGCCACTCTCTCCCGATGAGTCCGAGCATCACTGGCAGCAGCAAAAACTTTTTGCTGGTCGCACAAAGTTTACAACAGACGACAATGTTCTTTGCATCTTAGACTGTGACACCATAATGGCATTAACGTTACTTACAGCTGTCGAAAATACCTCTCTCTCTCTTTCTCTCTCTCTCTTTGCTCACCTACAGTGCGGCCGTGCATTCACGTCAAGGATTGTCATTACTTGAATCCCTCTCTGTTTATTCTCTGATAATAAACTGAAAGAAACCAACAACTGCAACAAAAAGAGGACAGAAGGGACTGAGTCAACTTTTAAACAAATATAGAGGCAGATCACGCTCTATTTGTCGCTTCATAGGCATGAATGATTTGGTGTTGTTGGTGTGTTTCTTATGTTGTTGTGCTTCTCAACAGATATTTCAGTCACTTTGGAAAAAGACCAGCTGCAGACCAGATACGACAAACTGACAAACAAACAAACAAACAACTACCGCGATACAGCATCCAACTTCACACTGCTTATTAAGAATACATATTTTTAAAATTGTCTGACTCTTTATATCTTGTTGTTTTCCTGAAGAAATAACAGTCAACAACAGCCAGTTACAGAATTAAGTAAAGCAGCTGAAGGACAAAATTGAAGGTGATGAACAGTGAACACCAGTATTGTTGCTGAGTGTGTGATCTTAGCTGCCAGTGATCTGTTAGTTGTGTTTTAACCTGCTACCAGTCGGTTTCCTATGACGATGCACGTGCAGAGGGGGTGCAACGGGTGCTTGAGCACCTGCCCTTTGATGCCCAAAGTGCCCTTTTGTCAATGACAAATTTAATTAATTAATTAATTTTTAAATTTGTAAAGGTCCATTTGTGAAGGCCTGCCGAATCAAAATATTAGTAAAATGAATTATTAATAATTTCGCAGTAAATAAAATGACACATTATGACCTTTCACCTGATGACCTCATCCGTGACGAGCCCTCCCGTTCAGACACCGTTAGTGATTCAGCAGCTCTGACTACAGGACAACTGCGATCCCGCCGGTCAGAGGGGTTTGCCGCAATGTGCTTGTTGTGGGTTGTTGGATGTGTTTTACAAGAAAGACGCAAAGAGAGCAGCACAGTAGTTGTATACACTCACCTAAAGGATTATTAGGAACACCATACTAATACTGTGTTTGACCCCCTTTACCTTCAGAACTGCCTTAATTCTACGTGGCATTGATTCAACAAGGTGCTAAAAGCATTCTTTAGAAATGTTGGCCCTATTGATAGGATAGCATCTTGCAGTTGATGGAGATTTGTGGGATGCACATCCAGGGCACGAAGCTCCTGTTCCACCACATCCCAAAGATGCTCTATTGGGTTGAGATCTGGTGACTGTGGGGGCCATTTAGTACAGTGAACTCATTGTCATGTTCAAGAAATCAATTTGAAATGATTCGAGCTTTGTGACATGGTGCATTATCCTGCTGGAAGTAGCCATCAGAGGATGGGTACATGGTGGCCATAAAGGGATGGACATGGTCAGAAACAATGCTCAGGTAGGCCATGGCATTTAAACGATGCCCAATTGGCACTAAGGGGCCTAAAGTGTGCCAAGAAAACATCCCCCACACCATTACACCACCACCACCAGCCTGCACAGTGGTAACAAGGCATGATGGATCCATGTTCTCATTCTGTTTACTACAAATTCTGACTCTACCATCTGAATGTCTCAACAGAAATCGAGACTCATCAGACCAGGCAACATTTTTACAGTCTTTAACTGTCCAATTTTGGTGAGCTCTTGCAAATTGTAGCCTCTTTTTCCTATTTGTGGTGGAGATGAGTGGTACCCGGTGGGGTCTTCTGCTGTTGTAGCCCATCCGCCTCAAGGTTGTGCGTGTTGTGGCTTCACAAATGCTTTGCCGCATACCTCGGTTGTAACGAGTGGTTATTTCAGTCAAAGTTGTTCTTCTATCAGCTTGAATCAGTCGGCCCATTCTCCTCTGACCTCTAGCATCAACGAGGCATTTTCGCCCACAGGACTGCCGCATACTGGATTTTTCCCTTTTCACACCATTCTTTGTAAACCCTAGAAATGGTTGTGCGTGAAAATCCCAGTAACTGAGCAGATTGTGAAATACTCAGACCGGCCGTCTGGCACCAACAACCATGCCACGCTCAAAACTGCTTAAATCATCTTTCTTTCCCATTCTGACATTCAGTTTGGAGTTCAGGAGATTGTCTTGACCAGGACCACACCCCATATGCATTGAAGCAACTGCCATGTGATTGGTTGATTAGATAATTGCATTAATGAGAAATTGAACAGGTGTTCTAATAATCCTTTAGGTGAGTGTATTGCTGTGTGTCGCCTGTCGAAGAAACGTTAGCTGCCGACGACTGTGCCGACAGCTAACGTTACTTCTGCACACAGATAAACAAAGGTGCTCTGTTCACTTCGTTCTTGCTGTTTGAGGGAGAAAAGTTTCATGGGCGTCGGCGGGTAATGTATTTTTTATGAAATTTGACTAAAAACCCTTCACTTGAACTAGGATTATTCCATCCATCATCAACCGCTTATCCTGCGTACAGGGATGCGGGGACTAGGATTATTAAGGTAAGTTAATAAAAAATGTAGTGTACCTTAAAATAATTATAACAACATTGGTAAAACAGGT